GATCCTCCTCCTCCTCCGCCTCCTCCTCCTCCTCCGCCTCATCCTCTTCCTCCTCCTCATCCTCCTCATCCGCCTCATTCTCCTCGATCCCTTTGTCCTAAAAATAACTCCTCCTTTCGCTCCCCGGGGACACTTTTTAGGGCGGGCCGGGCATTTCGCCTGAGACTTCCTCACCATATGACTCTGAAGCCTACACATTGGCAACAATTTCCTCCCCCTCCTCCTCCTCCTCCTCCTCCTCCTCCTCCTCCTCCTCCTCCTCCTCCTCCTCCTCGTCCGCTCCTCCTCCTCCTCGTCCTCATCCTCCTCCTCCTCCTCCTCCTCCTCCTCCTCCTCCTCCTCCTCCTCCTCCTCCTCCTCCTCCCCCTCCTCCTCCTCCTCCTCCTCATCCTCCCCTCCTCCCTCTCCTCCCCTTCCTCCCCCTCCTCCTCCTCCTCCTCCTCCTCCTCCTCCTCCTCCTCCTCCTCCTCCTCCTCCTCCTCCTCCTCCTCCTCCTCCTCCTATTCCTCCTCCGCCTCCTCACCATCCTCCTCCTCATCCTCCTCCCCCTCCTCCCCGTCCTCCCCCTCCTTCCCCTCCGTTTCCTCCTCTCCCCCCACCCCCCCCTCCTCCTCGTCCTCCTCCTCCTTCTCCTCCTCCTCCTCCTCCTCATCCTCCTCCTCCTCCTCGTCCTCATCGTCCTGGTCGTCCTCCTCGTCCTGCTCCTCCTCCGCCTCCTCCTCCTCCTCCTCCCCTTGCCTTGATAAAAACAGATCCTCCCTGTCGACGTGTCGGTAGGGCGGGCACGGCGTTTCGCCTGAGATTTCTCACCACGTATGACCACGAAGCTTGAAAAGGTGCAACAACTTGACGGGTGGAGGGTGGGCAGTTTTTTGTGGCTCTCGCCTTAGCGCCGCGCACAAGCGCTTCACGGATGAGAGCGGCTCGTTTTCGAAATGTGGTTCTCGTCTTAGCGCGCCGTGCGAGTTACAGTTGAAAGTCTGCAATAGTTGCAAGGGTGGAAAGCGGGCAGTTGTCAGAATGTGGTTCTCGCCTTAGCACCGCGCACATTCGCCTTAAAAGTGTGCAACCGCTTCAAGCATGAATGGGGGCTCTGTTTTCAAAATGTGGCTCTCGCCTTGGCGCCGCGCACATGCGTCTCAACATTCGCAAGCGCGTCACGGATGAGGGCGGCTCGTTGACGAAATGTGGCTCTCGTCTTAGCGCCGCGCATGTTACATTTGAAAGTCAGCAATAGTTGCAAGGATGGAGGGCGGGCAGTTGTCAGATTGTGGCTCTCGCCGTAGCACCGCGCACATTCGCCTTAAACGTGTGCAACAGTTTCAAGCATGAATGCTCTGTTTTCGAAATGTGGCTCTCGCCTTAGCGCAGTGCGCATTCCTTCTGAAAGTCGACAATCGTTGCAAGGATTCGCATGGTCGAAGTCCCAGGAATGGTGTTCTGGTAAGATTTAGGATTGTCGGAATTGAAGTTCCAGGACCGGTGTTCTAGCACGACTTCGGATTGTCAGACGGTTGCCTTCCAATAGGGCATTCCCTGCAATGGGAATACACTTGGCTAGTGCCCCATGAAGAAGAACATTGGAGGGAGAATTGATTGAAACATCGTTGATGCGTCTTGAGTTTACACTGGTACTCCTCCTCCTCCTCCTCATTGCCGCCACCTCTCCCCCCCGCATCTCTCCGTCTTCCTCACTGAGGGCAAACATGGCGGCACCAAGCCCATGGAATACAAACATAACGAATGCAACAACTGTTGCTCACTGAACGCGCTTGTGCAATGAAGGCGCTTGTACACCAACTGCAAACAATAAACATAAAATCACAATATGGGATCACCTTGAAACACGCGCGTTTTAACACATGTTCGTCTTTAGTTTGGTAGTCCCCGAACGTGGTGGTGACAACAAACGGCGGTGAGTCTCAGGCGATTTGGTGTCACCACCCGGTTGGGGGACTCGCGTGCATTTTCGAGGATGTCCCAAACGCTGGTGGCTCCAGGAGTCACAAAGCCCAGTGGTGACCCCGTGTTCCAACACCCGGCGTCGACTTCTGTGGGATTCCAAGTCACCACCTGATATCTCACCACTTGGTTTGGGGGCTCCCAATTAGTGCGCGCATTGCCTCCTTTTCCTCCTCGTCCAACCGGGCGGCCTTCTAGGAAGGCGGCGGGGTTCCAAGAAGGCAGGATGGCTTTAGCGGAGGCTGCCGAAAAGCAAGACATTGCAGCTTGCCCAACTGGTCATGAAAAGACACCTGCACGGGGCAATGAATGGACAGGTTCGAACAACGAATAGGCTCAACCTTGGCGGCAACACCTTTGGCCAGACCGTCGCTGGCCAAGAAAAAATCAAGGTAAGCCCAGCTGGGCTGCGACAGGTGTGTTCCCCTGGCGCCAGGATTCGGAGCTCAACATCCGCATGATCCAGGACCTCCGACGCGAAAACGACACTGGGCCGAATGCTGACGACACCTCCCACCAAAAACGGAATGCCTAAGACATGTTAATGACAAAACAAAAAGATGGCGTGGAGGGGGGGGGCTGGAGGAAGCAGGATGGAATGAGGTGGAGGAGGAGAAGAAACATGGAGACGACGGACAGAGGCCTCCTAGATGGGCTCGGAGTAGATGTGGACGGAAGATCGCGCCGCATCTCCGATGCATTGGCGATGCATCGGCGATGCGTCGGCGATGCACCGGCGATGCACCATCGGCGTGGGTGTCCAAGAGGGGGGGGTGCAAATCATGACCAGCGGCATGTGCGCGGCCCAGCGGGGGGGTCAGGGACGTACTGAAACAAGAAGATGCGCCACGAAATCTGGGGAAATGTCATGGCCCCCGCCATGATATCCACCCCCCCCGGTCATCACCCCCCTCCTTTCCGCCCCCGAAGAACGGAGCAGGACGGACGAGGACGGAGCGAGGAGGCACGAGGACCCTGCCCGACCCCCCAGAGGAGGAGGAGGAGGAGGAGGAGGAGGAGGAGGAGGACGAGGAGGAGGAGGAGGAGGAAGAGGAGGAGAGGGCCTCTCTGGCGCCCACGGCGGGGAAGCCGACCGCCAGCACGAGGGCGGCCCCCGCCGCGGCCAGGGCCAGCGCTGCCAGGCGCCTGGCGCCGACAGCCGCGGCCCGAGGCGACGACGACGACGACGACGACGACGACGACGACGACGACGACGACGACGACGACGACGACGACCCCTCACTCTCAACTTGTGGAGTTTGGCTTCCTCGCTTCCGGCCCCGGGGAACAGCTCCCGGGCCGCGGCGGCCCGGCCCTGGGGGCTCCCGGGGGGAGGCCCGCCGGCGCCACAGCGAGCCTCGACTCGGAGGCTGGCGGACCAGGCACCCGCGGCGCTCTCGCGGCGGCATCGGCGGCGGCGTCGGCGGCGCGCGTCGGCGGCGCGCGTCGGCGGCGCGCCTCGGTGGCGGCGGCGTCGGCGGCAGTCGATGCCGCGAGGGGCAAGGAAGAGGCCTCCCGGGTGGGGTCGGAGTGGACGGGGTCGGAGGATCGCGCTGCATCGTCGATGCATCGCCGATGCCTCACCGATGCATCACCGATGCATCGGCGATGCATCGGCGACGAGTCGGCGACGCCGGCGCGGAGAGAAAGTCGGGCTCCACATCGAAAGGCATCCCCGATGCATCGGCGATGCGGCGCGCTCCTCGATTCCATCTACTCCGACCCCATCTAGGAGGCTTAGACACGGGGGGGTGGGGGGCGAGCATTCCGACAGTGCCCTCTTGGAAGCCTCCGAGCGCCTATGGGAAAGCGCACGGCGCATGTTCCTCTGATCTCTATGTCCTGCAAGCGCGCATCGGAACCCGCTCTGGATCGAGAAACATCCCCCCCATGGGAGGGACGAGAGGTACAGCAGGCTCCTGCCGCGACGACGTCGGCGCTGGTCTCTGAGACCGCGCGGACCACTCCGCCTCGGCAGACCGCGGCTGACCGACAGCGCAGATCCTCCGACGCCGGCCGACTCCGGGCCGCTGGCAACGTTCCACCGTGGACGCCCGCGCTGAGGACACCGCCGCGTCGACGCTGCGCGAACCAGCCGTGCGGGGCAGCGTGTCGCGGAAGAGGTGCGGATTTCGGGCGGGCTCCGACGAGGCGCCTCGAAGGCGCCTGGGAGGGCAGCATGCGACCCGTCTACGGCGACTCTGGGCCGTGCGCGGGGAGCAGGGGCGCGGGACCCCGAGCATGTCATCAGGGGGGGCCTGAACAGAAGGAACCTGAGGCGGAGCACGAGGCGGAAGGAACGTCTGCATCGCACGGCACGTGTCGGATCGGAACCACGTGCTGCCTGTCGCGCACAACGGTTGGCATGTTGTTGCGCATATGCGCGACGTATGCGTGACACAAATACTCCTCCTCCCACTCCTCCTCGGACCCCTCCTCCTACTCCTCCTCATCCTTCCCCCCCCCATTATCCTCATCCAGATCATCATTCTCTGAAAATGTTCGAAGAGGGGGATGAGCGGGAAGACGGGAGGAGGCGGGAGAAAATGAAAACGGAGGAGGAACATGGAGCAAAGAACGATGGCGACCAAGAAAAGGATAAGAGGCGAAATATGGAGGACAAGGAGGAGGATGAAGACCAGCATCAGCGGCAGCCGAAACCCCTTCTTCCTACTACTAGTGTTGCTGGCGCGACCACATAATAAAGGAACTCAAAAGGCACCGTGTGCCCACAATGCGCGTAAGCCTTGGGCAGGGCCAAGGCAGCGGGTGGTCTCGGCTCCACACCAGCAGCCATTGGGACATTACTATACAATTCTGCCGGTGCGGGTTCTGCATGTGAGCGTGTTTTTATTCGGCATTTCGATATTGGGCGGAAAGGGCGGGGGGAGGGGGTGGGGTCTGGCTCCGGAACTCTGCTTCATGCCACTGCTTGCGACAGTGCGTCCCGCGAGGGGAGACCCCACCTGCTCGAAACAGGCGCCAAAAACAGGCAAGATCTACTCCATGGGGGGTGGAGGGGGGTGCAAGGGCCGCGCCGATCGGCAAAAGTCGGCGGTGGACAAACCTCCCTTGAGTAGATAGACCTCCCATTAGTGGAAAGCGCCTGGGACCGAAACCGACGGACCTGGACCCGCAAAAATGACGGCCGCGACGCCCTCCCGCGAACCGAACACGGCCAATTCCTTGATCGACGTGTCAGGGTAGGAAGTCTGTCCACCCCCGAAAAAGTATATATATATGTATTATATATATATATATATAAAAAAAAAAAAAAAAAAAAAAAAAAAAAAAAAAAAAAAAAAAAAAAAAAAAAAAAAAAAAAAAAAAAAAAAAAAAACGATCACCATCGTTCACGACACGAGAGCGCCACGAGGCTTCCGCGGGGCACGCGGCGCGCACAACCACTCTGTTGGCCCGGCAGGGGGGGGGGGGCGCACCCGGGGCCACGGGGGGGCCCCTCCGGCAGACGCCCACCGAGGAGGGGCCCGCGCCCGGGGACGGCCCTCGCGGGGCCCTCCAGCCGAGGAGACTCCGAACATTTACGCTTGTGCCCCTCAGCTGTTCCCTTCCCCCTCGTCCTTCCCCACCGCGCCACCCGGGGAGGAGGAGGAGGAGGGAGGAGGAGGAGGAGGAGGAGGAGGAGGAGGAGGAGGAGGAGGAGGAGGAGGTGGAGGAGGAGGAGGAGGAGGAAGGAGGAGGAGGAGGAGGAGGAGGAGGAGGAGGAGGAGGAACGGGAGGAGGAGGAGGAGGATGGAGGAGAGGAGGAGGAGGAGGAGGAGGAGGAGGTGGAGGAAACGGGAGGAGGAGGAGGAGAAAGGAGGAGGAGAGGAGGGAGGAGGGGCCGGGAGGAGGAGGAGGAGGAGGAGGAGAGGAGGAGGAGGAGGAGGGGGGCACCCGGGGCCCCTCCCGCACCTCCCGCAGACGCCCGAGCCGAGGGGGGGGGCGCGCCTGGGGGCGACCATCGCGGGGCCCTGGCGGCCGACCGCGGGGCGCGGCCGCGTCGGGCGCGGGGCGCCTCCGGCCAGCGCCCGGCGCCGCCTGAGGCCGCCGTCGCCGTGATGACTGAGCTGTCCCAGGAAAGGCGAGGACGAGTACTCCAGATTTCGTAATAAAAAGGGAGGGGGTCTGGACCCTCCAAGACAAGCCATTTCAGACCTCCCCCGTGGGAGAACCCTCCAAAACATCGTCCCCAGACCCCCCAGGCCCTCCAAGATAGCCTGGAAGAGACCCCCCCCCAGAATGAGACCCCCCTCCCTTTATTACGAAATCTGGAGTACGTACGAGGACATCAACCACGACGAGCAACCCATGCCACACGCCAACGGGGCCGGCGGATATGCATTTCACGGGAATGCTTTGGAACAACTTCCCGGCCCAGAAATTCCCGCCCGCGGTTATCATGGCAGAAGATTTCTGGATGCTCTTTCAGCGCAAGTGTGATCTAAAAAACGCAAGTGTGAAAAAAAACTCAGGTGCGACTGAAAAAACTTAGCTCCATCACACCCGAGATGCTCATCACAAAAATGTGGTTGCTACCGTACTTGAATGTTTTCTCACAGTTCCCCCGCAAACGGCTGTCACGGAAGCCTCTGTCGCCGAAGCCTGCTGGACATGGCAAGGCTGTGCTGACAGGCCGCCGTCACTGAAGTGACCTGGGAACTGCCATGGGTCCAAGGAGAGGCAGCGAGGACGAGGAGGAGAATGAACGGGGAGGAGCAGGACAAGAGGCGCCGAGGCGAATTGACTAAGCGTTGCATGTGCATTCCCATTTGTCCAACCGACCATCGCTTGAGACCGCCGCCTGCTAGCGTGAAGGACACGGGCCCTGGATGCTTGTCATAGCTTTCTGTCCTATGGGACCCTCCGCGGACCCCTGGGCTGTCAGCGAACGAATCAAAATGGAGAACGTGTCCTGGGGCAAGCCCTGGGGGCTGGGACCCATGTCCCTCGGCTGGGGGCCCCTTCCTTCCCAGCGACGCCTCCCTGGCCGCCCGCGTCGTCCTGGGACCTCCTCACGCCGTCAGAAACCGCGACGGAAGGGGGCCGCCTTCGGACCCGAGGGACCGTCAGCAGGGCCGGCTGGGAAGGGGTTCGGGCGGTGCCCGCACCCCGGAAACACCATGACGCCGGACGTACGGGTCGCCGTCCTTCCCTCTTGCCGCGCTCCGCCTGCGTGCGTTGGGAAGGCACGCATCCTGCCAGCACAGATCGGCAAGAGACATGGCCCCAGTAAGCGCGGCCCCCACATCAGGCGCTCCTGACAAGCGCGCCTCCGCCTCCCCCCCCCACCCTGGCGCACGATGCTGGCGGCAAAGCGCGCCCACGCGGCACCGAGGCCCCGCCCGAACTCTCCCACGGCAACGAAACCTTCACTGGGCGGGAAGACGGGAGGGGGTGCACAAAGGGTTCTGGCGGGAACTCTTCCTCCTCCTCCTCCTCCTCCTCCTCCTCCTCCTCCTCCTCCTCCTCCTCCTCCTCCTCCTCCATCCCGGATCTTGTGGCAGCGAGGTCTTCAGACGCAGCCGTCCTCCTCCTCCTCCTGCATACTCTCCTTCGTCGCACCCAAGGCCAGTCGGAAAGGCAGGCCGGGCGTTTCGCCTGAGACTCCCGTTGAATCGATGCGCATCAAGCTGAAAAACTGGCAACAGCTTCACAGATGGATAAGGGGTCGCTTCATCAGTGTGGCTCTCGCCTTAGCACTGCGAACAGTCGTTCCAAAACATTGCAAAAGCTTCACGAATTAAGGGTGGGTCGTTTTCAATATGTGGCTCTCCCCTTAGCACCGCGCGCATTCGTTTTAAAATTCATAGGAATTTCACAGATGAAAGGCGGCTCGTTTTCAAAGAATGATTATCGCCTTAAGCCACGCACTATCGGTTTGGGTCGTTTTCAAAATGTGGTTTACGCCTTAGCGCCGCGCACATTCGCTTCAAACAGTCGCAAAAGCTTCACGGACTGAGGACGGTTCCTTTTTAAAAGGTGGCTCTCGCCTTAGCGCCGCGCATATTCGTTCGAAGCAGTTGCAAGAATGTCACTGATTCATATGGCTAAGATACCAGTAACGGCGTGTTTTAAACGATTCGTGATTGTCAGGACGCAACAGCTATGTTGAATCGCAATGTTGACATCCCAGGGATGGTTTTCTGGCGGTTCAGGACCGTCAAGACGCAACAAAACACGCTGACTCGAGGCGTTGAAATCCTGACAAAGTGTTCTGGCACGCGTCTGGATTTTCACACGGATGTCCCACAACGGGGCACTTCCCTCGGTGGAAATAAGTCCTCGTAGGGGTCTATGGAGGGAGAGCTTGTGGGGACGGTGTACTCCAACATCGTTGATGAGTCGTGCGTTTACCATGGTACTCCTCCTCCTCCTCCTCTTCCTCCTCCTCCTCACCCTCCTCCTCCTCCTCCTCATCCATCTCGTCCTCCTCCTCCTCCTCCCTCCTCCTCCTCCTCCCCCTCCTCCTCCTCCTCATCCTCCCCCTCCTCCACCTCGTCCCCCCCTCCTCTTCCCCTCCTCCACTCCTTTTCCTTATACATAACTCCTCCGTGTCGCACCCCGAGGCTGGTCGAAGAGGCGGGCTGATCATATCGCCTGAGACTTCTTCACCACTTATAGCCCTGAAGCTTGGAATTCGGCAACAGCTTCACAAATAGAGGGCGGGTGGTTTTCATAATATGATGATCACATGAGCGCCGCGCACATTCGTATCAAAATTTGAAAGAGCTTCACGGGTTGAGGACAGGTCGTGTTCAAAATGCGGTTATCGCCTTAGCACAGCGCACAATCGCATTAAAACATGAATCAGCTTCACAGATTGAGGGCGGGTCGTTTTCAACATGTGGTCATGGCCTTAACGCCGCGCACATTCGCTTTAAACATTCGCAAGACCTTCACAGATTGAGGGCGGTTCGTTTTCAAAATGTTGTTCTCGCCATGGCGCCGCGCATACTCGTCTTAAGCATTTGCAAATAGATTCACGGTTTTTCCCATGGTCAATGTGCCCGCAAGTGTTTTGGAAAGACTCGGGAATGAAGGCGCATCAGTTACGTTGATTCGCGGTGTCGGAATCCCAGGAATGGTGTTCTGGCACGGTTCAGGATCGTCAAGACGCAACAGTAACGCTGACTCGTGGCGTTCACATCCCAAGAATGGTTTTTTAGCACGCGTCTGGATTTTCACACGGATGTCCCCCAACATGGCACTTCCCTGTGGAAATTAATCTTTGTACGGGCCTAGGAAGAGGGAGGTTGCGGGGAAGGTGGATTACAATATCATTGATGAGTTTGGGGTTCACTTTGGTCCTTTCCACCTCGTCCTCCTCCTCCTCCTCCTCCACCTCCTCTTCCTCTTCCTCTTCCTCCTCTTCCTCCTCCTGCTCCTCATCCTTCTCCTTTTCCTCCTCCTCCTGCATTCTTGCTCCTGCTTAACAACTCCTCCCCCCGAGGCCAAGCGGAAGGACGGGCCGGGCATTTTGCCTGAGACTTCCTCACCATCACGAGCCTCAAGCTGAAGCAAGACAAACAGTTTCACACATGAGACGCGGATCGCTCAACAAATATGGCTGTCGCCTGGGCGCCGCGCGCACTCGTTTCCAAAGGTTGCAAGACCTTCAAAGATGAGGACAAGTCGTTTTCAAAGTGTGGTCCCCACGTTACCGCCGCGAAGACTCCTTTAGGGCGGCTCGCTTTCGAAATGTGGTGTTCTGGAGAGATTCAGGACCGTCAAGACGCGACAATCAGGTTTATTACTCGTGGCGTTGAAATCCTGGGACCAGGTTATTCTGCACGTCTCCGGATTTTCACACGGACGTCCCCCAGCGGGGCACTTCCGTCAGTGGAAAGGAGTACGTATCTGCAGGGGCCTCTGAAGAAGGAGTTCGGAGGGAGGGTGTCTTCCAACGTCGCCGCGGGCAAGGGCAAGGGCAGCAACGGCACCGACAGCGAGGGCGGCAAGGTCGACCCTGGCGGTCAGCGTTGACTGGGTTCCGACAGGTATGGCGAGAAGGGGACGGTCGTGGACAGCACGATGTTCTGTTCCTCACATGTTTCGCCGTCCGTTGGGACTTCGGCGGCATCAAAAGCTAACTTCATGTTCAGCACTCTCTTCCATGCGAATGCTACGTCTCTTGGGGACGAGGCGTGGGAACATGTGATGGAGGGCAAATACGACTACGTGAGCGTCGTGGAGACACGCACCAGCGAGTCATCGTGCAAGCAGTGAGATAAGACGGCCAGGGCTGCTGGCTGTCGTAGTTTGACTCATCATGCTCGGTCCCGAACCCAGAAGGTTGCGGCTCCCATGGCCGAGAGGGCCAACGAGGGCGGCGAGTGCTTCGTGGCCAAGACGCACCTGCAGGTCGAGTCCAGGTACAGCGACTTCCACACAGGTGCGCAACTTCGTTCGGCTGGCCACAATCAGTTGGATGGAGTTCAAGTTACACCCTGCGAAATGCTTTAGAAATCATGGGTTAAGAAATTCATAGTCTCAGAAATTGAATAAAACCCAGAACTTCTATCAAAATCTTGGGATTTACATTGAAACAGTAAGAATAATCGAGACTCTGGACGAAAACTTGGGTTTTCTTAAGCATCGCCCAGGGTGTACAATTGTTCATGTGCAAGGGCATTCCATGGCGCGTGTCACCTGCCATGGCCTGCCGTCGCTGGGCTGCACGGGTGACGACGTCCAGCGGTTCAAGAAAATTGGAGCCGTGATCAACACCGTGCAGACGCCTTACATCTCAGTTGACGACTCCAGCATACAGGTTGCCAAGATGCAAAAGTCCGCGCTCCTGTCCAAGCTCATCGGCGAGCCCATCATCCTCACCGCTGACAACACATTTCCTCCACGTGCGAGGCGGGCAAGGATGGGACCACAAACGATGGCGTCATCTGCAGTTCGGCGGCTCGGTGCTGCATCGGCAGCATCAAAGGGGTTGCCAACGTGCCGTGGAAGCCTTATGTGGGGCTGGTGCTGCAGTTGAGGTCGTCGGGGCAGCAGCTCAGCACGAGGCAGCTCGAGTTGCCGGACGACGTGCCGCAACGGGGCCGCCCTGCCACCGAGCCGCCGCCGGTCTCGAAGTCCAGCCGCGCTCGCCAGGAGAAGGATGAAAAAAAATCCCAGCGACTTGCCGCCAGGGAGGCTCAGTTCACCGCACTCTTCGGGGAGAAGGCTCCTCAGGGGGCCGCGCCTGAGGGCGCTCTATCAGTGATGTGAGTTCGATCGGTGAAAGGCAGGAAACCTGGGGGCCCTGACGAGGCGTTCTTGCAAGCGATGTGCGATGAGAGGCTCGAATATGAGTGTGATCCTTGGGCTGATGAAACGTGCTTCACGCCAGCGGTAGTTCCGATAAGGGAGGAGCCCCCTGATTCGGGTTTGTCTTTAGGACAGATCGACCTGGCTAGTGGGTCCCGCGTCCGCTCGGGAGGCGCCGCGGACGGCGCGAGCGCGTTTGATCTCCCCGATTTCAACGCAGGTGGCACCCAGTCCCCCCTCCAGACGCGAATTTAGATCCAAATTTAAACCATTTAAACGATGAGGAGTCTGTTGTGTTCTGTGTTCGCGAGGAAACCTGGCACAGGTGCAGGGCTGAGGTCGGATTCACACCGGCGGAGCAGTGACAATCCCTCCCCCTTCCTTTCCTCCTCTGTAGCATTTTGGCTTACTGATTATTCGGCGATAGTCTACATCAGTGCCTCGTATGCCTCTGGGGCGCGAGCAACAGAAACCACTCTCCGTGCGCAGCATGGCAGACAGGTCCCTCCTGGCGCGAGTCGCAGTACTGGTTTCGTTCAAAAAGCCGATCATCATTCAGTCAAGCAGCGGACGTTGCCTGTTGGTGGAGCCGTCTTCACGTTGCGCTTCATCATCTTGCTCGGAATCAGAAGCGACCAAAAGGACAACGGCAGCGCGATCATGTGCTGGAGTCCGTGAGCAGCGTGGCCGACGAGTGCCCACCGCTTGCCCACACTGGGCTGCGCGTGCGTGCTGGAGGCGATGCAGCTTGGACGAGGTGGCAGGCTTTCTTCAAGGGCGTGCGGGCTGCGACTGAGAAGGAGGTGGACTTCTTCGCCCAGCGGGCCGAGCCAGTAGCAGCCAGGTGCCAACGACGAGCTCTTTCCGCTTCGCTTAGGGAGTTCACGGCATGGATGCAGAATCCTGAGGCTCTTGGTCGATTGCACAAGACGTTATATCAAGGATGAGCCGACCACTCGGTTTGAGATTGTTTCCGATGAGTCTTGTTGGTCCACCCGCGGGACATCATAGATCACAAGGCTGCTCAGTGGCCCAGGCTGTGGGCTCCAACAGCTGGCGACGCGGAGCAGCTGCGCGAGTCTTTTCGCGAAGGTCGAGAGCGTGCC